CTGTCACTACTTGTGTAGAGAAGCTGATAAATATCCAGGAGGTGATATAGGATATCGATCCAGTCCTTGGCACTGCCCTCTCAACCATGCTCTAATTTAATCCCACTCTGACACAAAAAGCTCTCCAGTGAGCTTCTCGTGCAGCACTTTCCAAAACACTTTGGAAGGTGACTGTCCTTATGTATCACATCTGGTGCCTGCATCGCTTTGTCGAAGGCCTTACCGAGCCATGACCCAGCACTCTGGCTCTGCATGATTGGTTTGCTTTGAGCAGCCCTGCTGAGGCCATGCTCCTGACACTGATAAGAGAGAAGAGATGGACAGTTGGCAAATCCTCCTCCTTCAAATTGGATGACAGGGGCACTGCTCCCTTGCTGCTTGAGTTTGACTATGTGTAGTATAAATGGCCCTGTCAGTAAATTGAAAAGGATGACAATGTGCAGATATTTAATACAGATGTGTGTCTGTTTGTGTATGAAGCGCATGCTGTCAGAGAGTGGGAGGGAGGGAGAAAGAGGAATGCCATGTTGGTTTATCTGAAAATAGAGTAGTCACTATTTGCCTAATGCTTTTTGTAATATGATTATGAAAGGAAAAAATTAAGGAGGAGAAAGTGTTTTTGTTGATTTACAAAGCAGCTTGGTCAGTTCGATCAAAGCAGCACTGTGGGTGAGCAACTGAACGTTAGCAAAACAATAGAAGGAGAGGGAAAATCAGACAGATAAGCAGAGATGGGTGCACAGGGTTTATGACTAAGCAATTAGGCAGAGCGGCAAAACGAAGGTGTCTGTCGGTTAACAGAAAGAGAAGGGCGAGATTAATGGGAGATGGCAGAGGCGTGCAGCTGATGAGTAGCAGAGTGGCTGTGTGATCTGTGGAAAAACGTTGCCACAGGAGAGCTAGACTAGTGCACCAGGCTAATGCTACTTCAGTTATCCTCTGCTGCATTCAGACCTCCTAGTTAACATGAGTGAGAAACCAGAACAGCACAATTCACACTGAGGGATTTACTTTGTAGCAAACCAGCAACAGATGACTGTAAAATGCCAAAGGTTGGCAAGGAACCGAAAGCTAGGTGCACTTCTAAGAATCAGTGCACTATTGGCAGATTTATTGACAGTGAATCATATTGAAACATATTGCTTTAGACACTAAGGTCCTTGTGGAATAAACAAAGGTTTCCTATTAATACATCCTATATACTGTATATCCTCAAGGCCTAAAAACATGTCAAATGCCTTTCTTATAGCCTTTATCTCAAACCTTATTACATTCAAAGAGATAAAGTATACAGTACACTATAACTGAAACAGTCATGCCGACATGTACTAATGGGTGGAAATTAAGTTTAATATATTGTTTGACCTCCTAGAGCTTATATAAACCTGCTTTAGACCTGTTTGATTGCTTTTTATTGGCAGGTGCTACAAATGTTTCCATGTGACCAATTTACAGAGTGCAAAAGTCTTCACTAGCTCAGATCATTGTTTTAATGGTGCAGCCTGTTTGAAACTAGCTAGTAGTTGCTAAGAGCTTTGGAAGGACACACAAACTCAGTAATGGCTCAGCAAAAAGTTGGCTCAGCCATATCAGCACTTCCTCTGCATATTGTTTGCATCTCTGCTACATTTAGGTGAATTGCCACATCCAGTCGTTACCACCCTTTGACATCACTTGAAATGGTTATCATATTATTGCCATCTTTGTGTGTATCCTGATAGAAAGAGACACAAACAAAATGGTGGCATTGCTCCACAGTGCCACTAGTGGTCAAAAACCTCCAAGGTACCTTTAACGTCAGTCTTAGAATTGATGCTGAGAATATTTTGACCCTTGAATGTTTTGGTTTTGTTTATGCTGTTTGTAATATCATGGGAAAACAGACCTCATTACTGCTCCAGTCTCATGAATACCACAGACACATTTGATTATGGCTGTCAACTCCCAGTTATGCTTCAGGCATCACTTTGCATCCCAATGGGACCTATACTCTATAGGTCATTACATTTGATTTCTTAGAAAGGAGGTGTAATAGTATTGATTGGGCACTCTGTGTGTATATGAATCCATTAACTCCTGTGCAAATATGGTCACAGTGAACTTACTGCTGCATATACACAGGCACACACAGACACAGGCCACACAGCTGACCTCTGACTAGAGCAAAATGAACCCAGTGGCAAAAGCCAAACTGATGCTGGGGGGGATATTTACTAAACCTGTCACACTTTACCATCAAATATTGCGGCACTACAATTTTTCAATTGTATTGTATTGTATTTACTGACAATGATGATGTAAATGAGCACAGCCTTGGCTGTGTTCATTTGCATACACCTCCACTTAGAATCTGCTGCCTGCTAGCTGTTGTGTGCATGTGGACTGAGAGGAAATGTAGAAGCAAGTCTAAGTTTACAACGACTGAGCTTATATATGGTTGAAGGAACCAAAAAGCAAATTTCAGAGCTGGAATCACGTTGTCAAATCATCTTTTACTTCATTCAGTAAATGAAACGTGCTAGGAAAAACTTGTAACTCTGAGTTAGAAACACTAGTCCTTAACTGCAGACCATTTTATTCACTGAGAAAAATGTTCTCATTCATTTTGGTTTGTGTTTATATCCTGCAAACCTAGAAGTGAATGAGATCAAATATCAGAGCCTTGAATCCACCAGCTTCTCCAATGAAGCAGAGGTCAGGTGAAGGACCGTTAAGGTCATGATAAGTCCCAGCTGTGGCACACACATCAAATACTCATCCTGCTGTGCTGCTTGCAAATTCTGAGACTGAGTTTATGGGTTTGTGATGACTATAGAGAATAGGCTTGAACACATGTCTACAGTATATCATCATCAGCACTGTGAGTGCTCTCAGATACACAAAATACTGTCGGACAAGTCTTCATCTTTCACATCTCTTCTCAATTCAAGTAGGGCTGACTACTTCAAAATAAAACTGTATAAGCCAACAGTTAAACATTTTTGTAAATGCTTTTTTTTTTTGGAAAGGGTATAAGGTGACAAGAAAGAGTAAAAAAACCTTATTAAATTTCCTGTTTGATTCTACCCCCCTTGGTTTTTGTACTCAAAGAAACAAATCAGTATCTTTTCTACAGATGATGCAGTAGTGATTTATTGCTTCACTGAGCTGCTCAACATATATTCTCCTATATAACGGTGACCCATTCATCAGGGCATACTGAAAACATCAGAGCAAAAAGTTTACGAGCTTAACTTTTATAGGGCCACATTCTTTTACTGTTTTATTTAGCTCTGAAATGCCCATAAAGCATCACCTCTGGTTGCAATGACATTTTCCTCTAGTACGCCCCTAATTTGCTCATTGCTCACTGTTTGCTTTTGATTGTACAGCCAGTCAACATCAGTATCTGGGTTCGAAGATCCTACAGCTGTTTTAGCAACACTTGATCAGACGGGTCACTTGATGCATCCAGATGCGATCGGATCAGAAGAGACTGTAGAACTGTTATGGTTTAGTCCCCCTCACCAGGAGGGTGAGGGAGAACTGGGGTTGGACTCAAGATGGCTGACCCAGGTGCTAGTACAAAAAGGTGGTTTAATGGAATAAAAACAAAGTGACAACATAACAGGGTCCATAATACATACAAGGGAAGGGCAGTGATGACTAAGGAGACCAGGACGAACAGGTACACATACACACTAATGGCAGGAATCAGGAGAGCAGGAGGATGAGAACGGACAGATGAACAAAAAGAACTAACGTACACAATGCAATCCACAGCACAGGGACTGTCAGCGTGGAAGACAAAGCACGTATTTAAGTATTGCTAATCGCATAATTAGCGTGATAAGGTCAAGCCAAAACGCACAGAGACTGTCAGCGTAGCATCTTACACACGTCTAAAAAATGCGGGTCAAACACAACCTTTGTATAACTTACTTTAAGTATTGTCCATTACACGTCACAAAGATCCGGCCCAGGCGGAACGTCTGCCCGAGGTATAAATAAGGAGGAAAACTAATCAGCCGGATGCACCCCAGCTGTGTGCACCGACAAACGAGTCGCCAATTACCGAGTGCAACACAGCTGAGGTGCAGAATCCCGCAGATCAAGAAAATAGAGGAGAGAAAGGTGGAGGAGAGGCAGCGGCCGCCGAGCGGCCCTAACAAGAACAGACTAAGAATAGCTTTTAAATAATAGAGAATATACTTTATAGTGTAACAAGTCCAACTGAAAAACAGCAGCCCCCCTCACAAAGCAATCAGTTTGATATTCCTGCTTGCACAGATAATTGTCACTAAAAATATTCTACTGCTGTGCATCACACCTGGCTGCATTGGATGTAGTCTATAATATTTTAAAACAACGTTCAGTAATGGCCTAAGATTAGGACCGGTTTTGTGCTGTGTGTTGGATGTTTGCTCTGGAATCAAATTTATACATAATTACTATATGGTTGTCTCAACAAAAGCATATTGAGCTTGTTTAAGCATTTGTTGTTGGAAACATGAGCTTCTCTTAGTAAAGGGCTGTCTGTGCTGCAGTATTGCTACCTGTTGTTGTTGTATATAATAAATCTATGCCTTCATGCTTTTTAGTGAACAATATCTAAAGGTTATATTATGCAAGTGGAAAAATGTCTCTGCTGATTCGTGATATGGTGTCCTGCCTTAGGAAGCATTTTCCTAATCTAATCTTTGGTTTTTAATTGAAATGCTTTATCTCTCAAGATGTGCCAGTTTGCCTGTTGCAAAAAGCTAATTGATTTTCCAAATAAATGAAAACGTTAAGTCGCTAAGTAGTTTTGGAGACAATGAAACACATTAAGCATGATGATAATGTACAGAAATGCAGTCAAAACTCTACTGGTCAGTAAAAATCCAATGATAAAGCTTTTTGTAAGCATTGATTTTAAAGCAGTTTAGCAAGAACCTGTGTTCTGTGTTAGATTGTGATGAGCTTACACTTGTACAATTTGTTATGATGATCGAACCTGACAAGTTGTCTTTGTGTTTCAGGATTTCTTCTTCTCTGAACCTGCTCATCAACAATAAACTCTGTGGTCTCTCCAATAAGGTACGTTTGGACCTTTGTTTTTCTTCAGTCCTCTGGGCAGTAATATTCCGTTTTCATTTAATGTCTTTGTTAGCATCTCCTGCCCAGCTGTAAAGGAGACCTGAGAGCCAGTGCCTTTTTGATGTTCTTGCTGAGTATACTGAAATGGCCGAGCTGCCAGGAGAATGAGCTCATACACTACAGAAAAACAGCATGCCTTGACCTTGTCTACACTGGACTACAATGGATCCTCAAGGCATTTAGACTGAATGCAGCTGTCAAGCTGAAAAAAAAGTATGTGCTGTGGAAGATGGAACTTTTTGTCCTTTGTACAGGCTAATAAATCTCTGAGGACTTTTGTTTGCTCAGGCCAAAAACAGATCAAAATAGAAACATCAATGTATTTGATGTTTAATAGTTTGAATGTAACAATAGTACAGTCAAGTGTGCCAGTGCTGTGTTGCTGCATGGATGTAAGGGCATGTTTTTTCATGCAGACACATGCACAGTGTTGCCTGCAGAGCAATGAGCACCGATGGAACATAGCCACAATGCTCAGCATGATGAGCGTCCTCTGTGGGCTTTCTCGAGGTCCAACACTGGACTCTTGATTTCACACTTGATTAAATTCATTCTGAGCACAAATCTCTTTGGCGATAGTATCCATAAGAGCACACTGTCTCTGCTATTGCAGTACACACAAGTGTGAGAAGGAACTCTGCCTTCTCATGGAGCCATAGCTTTCACATTTCTCCTTTTAAAATGAGTGGGACAGTTGTTGAGTTTCAAAATGAAAATTAAATTATCTGAGGCAGCAGTCAAACATTTGTGTGTCTTAAGATATTTGGGCCTGACAAACAGTAACGTTAGCCTTGATAAACAGCAGTGCAGAGAGACACAGTTATCAGAGAGCCTCTAGTACAGCGCCACTAGCTCAGCTGCATCACAGGTCTTCACACAGTGACTTTCTCAAAGGGACTTGAGGTGGTCAAAGCTCCACCACACTCCCTGCCTTTACAGCAAAGAAAAGTTGAACATCAGCTTGTCATGACGGTTAGTTCTGACTCTGTTTATTCTGTAGTGGCCACTGTCCCCTGTGTCTCCTGACCCATATGTATTGCTCCCCCACTCCTCAGCTGAGTTTTTAAATTTGCTGTGAGAGCAGAATGTGGGTCTATAGTTACCCTTTAAATTGCCTCCCTGATCACACATAAATGCCTGGTTCAGACGACACAATTTTCTTGTCTGATGCGATGGTCACTATGTCAGATTACACAATTATGAAGCCATATAAATGCTTGGACGAGAGATATGACAGAATATACATTGGTATGACAGCTCACAGGCTGCCATTGTTCACAACTTGGAGGTGCCAGGAGAAGAATGTGTGTGATATTGGCTGCTTGCGTTCGGAAAAGCATAAAAAAAGCTTTTTAAGCCAGTAGTAAAAACCAAAACCTGGCTAGCTAGCCATGATAGGTTAGCTGCTTCAGAAGGCTGACTGTTAAAGTTACTATGCTAACATTATCATTGTGATATTTAATGACTGTGGTTCAGTCCAATATGCCAAAAATGCTGTGAAGAGAAGAGCAATCTCCTCTACTGTTGGTGGCCATGTCTTAGATGATATCCTAGACTTTGTGTTGGGACCTCGGATAGTCTGAACTGAGCATAATACTCTCAGAGGATTTGAAGCAGCAGTTCATTTAACTGAGCCACTACCTGATGCCTTATCCAGACAGTACTGTAAACTGCTGTCATTATTGTATTTTTACAAATAAATGGCCATAAGAAGCACCATCATAAATCATATTCCATATGAGTGTTAATTAGAATTTAAAAACTATGTGTACTCTTTGAGGTTAGATGATGATAGTGAACAATGGGCTTGACTTGCACTGATGATGACATCGGAATTCAAAGTTTAATGTCGTGTCTTCAATGCATATGCATAAAACATTTAATTAGAAATTCAAATGATTGTCACAAAAACATCCCTGCAAAATATACTATTTGTGTCTGTCTTAGAAAATTCAGAATCAGGTGTTGGCCAGGTGTGTTGACCACACAAGGAATTTGACTCTGGTGCATTGGCTCTCAGTGTGCATGTACAGTTGTCATCTGTGAACTTCAGGAGTCTAACAGAGGGGTTCCCTGAGGTGCAGTCATTGGTATATAGGGAGAACATCAGCAGGGAGAGCACAAATCACCTGTGCTGATAGTCCAGGTGCTGGATGTGATTTTCCCCAGCCTCACCTGTTGGCTCCTGTCTGTCAGAAAGCTGGAGATCCACTGACAGGTGGGGGCAGGCACAGTGAGCTGCTTGAGTTCGGAGTGAAGGATTTCCAGGGTGATGGTGTTGAACGCTGAACTGAAGTCCACAAAGAGGACATGTGCATAGGTCCCTAGGGAATGAAAATGATGCAGGATGTAATGCAGTACCATGTTGATTGCATCGTCCACTGACCGGTTTGTCTGGTAGGCAAACTCCAGGGGGTCAACACCAGTCTCTCAAAGGACTTCATGACCGCAAATGTCAGGGCGGCGGGTCTGTAGTCATTCAGTCTGCTGATGAAGGGCTTCTTGTAGACGGTGGAGAAAAGTATGCATTTTTGTCAAGCACTGTGTATGGAAAGCATTTAATATGTGAGCTAGAAAGGGCGGAGTCGAGGGAGCTTTTGTAATTCTGTAGGAAAAGCTAGTGTACATAAGCATATTAAATATTTGTGCTTTAAAGCCAAGGTGAGTTTACTGTTTATCTTTAGCGTTTCTTCTTCCGAGTGACTACGGAGAGTGTCTACATCTGTGACAATATTACAGTGTAGTATTTAGTTAATTTCTTCACAGCGTGAAAAGCTCATCACTAAATGCCAGAGAGACAAGTTTGCCCCAAAACTCTGATCCCATTGCCTTTACTCACTCCATAATCAGTTTACTCGTTCCTCTCCCAGGAACCACAGTGTTGCATTTTTTACAGGATGAATTGTTGATGTTATTATGATTTGCTTTCATATGTCATGGGAGACTGTGTTAATTCATCTTCAGCACAGAACAACAACAATTCATTTGGATTGCTGATCAGTCCATTCACTGAATGAGTTGTTTTTTACTGGTTGTCTGTGAAAACACAAACAAGAAACAAGATGTCCTGATATTAATGCTACGTGTAGCTGAAGGATTTAATTTAGATAGCCTGTTTTGCCTGACCAGATGTTCACAAACCCAAAGATATTCACTTATTCTACATGAAAATTACCATATTCATTATGAGAAGCTCACTTTTATGTGATTAATGACTTCAGTGATTAATCGATGATCAAAATTCTTGTTATATTTTCAATCTGCCATGCTGATATATTCAATGACTGATCATTTCTGCATTATTACATTGTTTCCGGGAACCGCAAATAGTGTTGGAACAACAGTAAATATTTATCATGTGGAATTATGTGCAGTCACCTGTTAAAGGGATCATGCACACACTGATAACGCTGATTGTTTGCTTATCTGCAGTGCAGTATGCTGCACAGTGCTGCATACCTACCACAGATTTAGCCAGGAATTCTTTTAACTTTCTGTGTAACTTAAGCTGATGACACTGTAGCTTGTGATGGAGAAATCCTGTGTCTCAGAGCTGTATGCTGCAGGCCAGGGCAAAGACTGCAGTTCTGCAGGGGATTTATTATATTTCTCTCATGAGAACACTTAGTTCTCTCAATTTATGAGAAGGCATCAGGCTGCTCATGCAGGGAGCTTTTATAAAACTTTTTTTCTGGACTGTTAAATCTACTGTGGCCAGAAGAACAAAAGTGCTGACACTACTGCAAGAAATGTATGTTAAGTGTAAAATGCAGTGCTTCATTACTGAGCTTTTTCTGGAACACCAAGCCATTAGATAATGAAAGGCTGTTGGACAGGTCGCTCTTCACTTGTAGGACTTCCACAGGGGAAAACAGACAATTTCCTACTCATACAGTACTACTACAAACTGGTGTTTCCATTCAGTACATACAGTATCTATTTTAGGGTAACTCTGGTAGTTTTGAGGGTATACTTTAGGGGGGGTTACTAACCATTGCAAAGTTGATATGGAGACACTATATTTACTTACATTTACTGGTCGAAGGAGTTAAAGTCCCTAAAAACACACTGAGACACCGTATTGTTGTGTACGTACCGCCTGAAAACAGCAGTGTTTGTTACTATATTAACTTACCACCTAAGCTTATTTGTTGTTCCTCTCTCTTTGTGTTTGTGTACACTATGAGCAGTTTGTGTAGCCATTGCATTAACATGGTTTAATCCTCTGCATGGCTTATTGGATACAAATCCCTTCCAAAGCTTTTAAAGCTCATGCCTTTTCATTCTTGTCTCTCCTGCTCTCACCATCCACCGACAGTATCCGACCATCAGACAGTGAAGGAAACTACAGTGTTTCCAAATCAGTTCTTGGTGTCACATCATCTTCACCTTTATAGTTAAACCACATGTGATGCTTGTTTTATTGGGTAACTTTACATGTTGCCCAGTCTCAAATTTATATTTTTTTCCTTTTTGCCTATTTCTATGCTCAGTTCAAGGCACAAAGTTATTTCCCGAAAGAGGTCTCAGAGGCAATCGTAAGTCTAAACTCAAGGTGAAGGCACAGATGGGTGTGTCCAACATTATTTGTACAGATGTTGCATCATGATGCCTGCCAACCATGTTCATGTTTGTGGCCATATACTGAGAAATAGTTGATTTATCTTATTTGGAAATAATCATTTCATAATTCAATTAATTTTACACAAAATTATTTGCAGTGAATTCTGACAGATTATATTTTGGATCTAAAGGTTTATTTTAAGTTGATCTGACCATTAAGATACATTTGGGTACCATTCATTAATGGCAGGAAAGTACCAAACACATCAATGCACAAAAATAAACAAAAAAAAACTTAATAAAATAGACTTGCATCCAAGAAGAAATGCATAAAGACCACATCTGAAGCCACAGTAAATTTGCACTGGCAAGACAAT